TACTTATAATACCATCAACCAGTGGTAAACCATTTTCTTGGAATCTTTATGGACCGAAATGACAGACAATCAATCATATCATATATATATATAAAAGAGAACCTTAATCCCGCCTACGTGGCGCCACCACAGACTAGAATTTCCTTTTAATTTATTTCTTTCCAAAATTAGACTTCACCGAAAAGTTGTGACTTTTATGAAAAGTTGTGAGTTTTATGAAAAGTTGCGACTTTTACGAAGAGTTGTGACTTTTAAGAAAAGTTGCGACTTTTATGAAGAGTTGCGACTTTTATGAAAGGTTGTGACGTTTATGAATGGTTGTGACCTTTACGAAGGGTTGTGACATTTCCAAAGAGTTGTGATCTTTCCGATAAGGCACAATAAGCATATTGTTCACACTACCCTATGTTGCCAATAAATAGAGGAATTTCCTCTCATTTTATTTTTAAAAAATGAAAATTTTGAACTTCTTTTTCTACACAATGAAATATTCATGCACTTTGCTCCTGTTGAGTGGCTTCCTGACACCATTGTTTTTGTATCAATACCTTGGTGAATAAAATCATTCCATCCAAAGAGGATTTAATTATTTAAACCTCAGGTATTAGAGGGGAATAATTCTTTTAAGGGGACATTGTGTATTCAGTGAACTCGATTTTTTCCTTTCTATTTCATTCTAATTTTACCTATCCTGGTATTTTTTTTACAGTCATTAATTTATGCTTATGATGTTAATTGTTCTTTTTGAGTACATGTTTTAAACTCTGTTGTTTATGTTTCTGCAAAGTTATTGTCTCCAGTTATATTGAACATATACACATATAGTAGGTATATTGATTGTGCAGAAAATAATTATTGTACTCAATTCAAAGAATACATGTTTTGATATTCTATATAAAAGTCTATGACTTAAAAGTACTATATATAAGCTTACATATTATCTATTTTAACATAGATATGAAGTGTCCCACTTATCAATTGAAGAAATTCATTAAGCAAGTTCAAAAGTTATAATTGCTTTCATGTTCAAGCGTAATTTCTTTTTTGAATCTGTGTTCTTTTCTTACGAAATGCCTTTGCATATATATTCTTATTTTTCTTCTTTATTTTCCTTTTAATGTTGATTAAAGAACCAATGATTTATTATTTCCTGAATAATTCATTCATTAGAGGTTCTTGAGTTATGTGATAATGACAAATAATCAAATTCATGTTGGAATATTGCCAATATTTTCTTAAGAACCTATTTTTTCCATCATTTTTAATGTATGGATATTAGTAAATAATTATTTGCAAGTTCAATGCAATTATTAGTTATTAAGAAGTTTCATGCATTTTAACTTACCATCTACACACATTGATTCAAGAAATCATCTATACAGAAAATCAGAAAGAATTGTACCATTATAAACTTGTTGCTCATTTTCGAGAATATTTTATACAATTCCAATTGATATATTAGATATTAAAAATAGAAATTAAAATATATGAAAAATATAAGTTTCTAAGCATGAAGAATTGCATTAAAAATGAATGTAATATTTTCAGAGTTTTGAAATATAAATTAAAGTAGTTTTCAGAGTTTTGAAATATAAACTAAAGTAGTTTTGATACTATTTATAATAGTTACTTTATATTATATATGCATATATGTCACCTTATGATGTTAAAGAATACAATATTTTTTTAAAATTTGTGTTTTTAGAACATTCCATATAACTTTTATATTAGATTTGAGATGTATTTGTCTACGTAAATAATAATTTACACGTAAATGCTTCCTCCCCCCCTCCCCCCCCCCCCCCCCCCTGGAAAAAGATATAATCTGATGAAAAAAATTCATTTTCGCAACTAGATTGTATACTCAACTAAATTATGAGACTATAACTATAGCTTCTACATTTACTCTCAAATTTAGATTATTAGAATAACTTGATGTGTACCAAATTAAAATATCGATGACAAAATAAATTGCACATAATATAAAACAAAAGAAATAAAAGGATTACAATATCAAACTGTATGGTTAAATAGAATAATTAAATCATCCGATGCAAATATATAATCCAATTCTCATACTGCACATGCAAAATCTTCATTTTGTATCAACTGAGAATCTTAAAAATACAAATATCCAAAAATTTCATTAAAAAATTATAATATAAAAGTTAAAAAATTATAACTATAGAAATGCTTAAATTAATTATAAAATGCATAGGTCTCGATCATTACTATAAAATAAATAAAGTGAGTATCTAAACAATGTTTAAATTTGACTATAAGAATCTGATGATATACCAATTCCTGATTACAAAATATGTTCAAATTTGAAAGCAAAAACGTTTCAATAATGATCTTATAAGAAACGAAAAAAGAATGAATGTTTAGAATAATATTATACAATGATTACAAAATATGTTCAAATTTCTGTCGAAAGGAAAGAAACGGAGAATTCACCTCATCATTGCTTTCACTGAGAAGAGAATAATGATTAACAAAATACGTAAAGAATGGTATTTAGATAAATAAAAGGATAATAAAGGAAAATGGAGATTGTAAAGCACTCACGGAAAGAAAAATAAATTTAGTAAGAAAAAATTTGCCCAAAAATAAAGAGGATAAAGCAATTGTGTCATAGCATAATAATTAATATAAATTAGTATAAATTACTGTCTTTTTTTCTACTTGTACTTTAAAACGTTATTTAATTTAATACACCATTTAGGTTAATTAAATGTAAATTATGAGAGGAAAAAAATGGAATATGAAAAGGCACAAGAATTAATTAGTAGTGTAATTTTCAGAGATTAGTACACATTACACAAAAAAAAAAAAAAAGAAAGAAGTGACACAAAAATTAATAAGCAGTATAATTATTCAAAAATCAATACACATTTAAAATCATTTTAATTATAAATTATGAAGATAAAGAAAAGGTTAATAAGATAATTTGAAAGTTTGGATGAAAATCAGGACATGAAATTTTCTTCAACATTTGAGAGTTTGGATGAAAAAAAACAATGATCAGTACCAAGAAAATTTCTTCATGTTGTTGTTCAGCCTCTTCTTTGTAGCAAGAAAATTGAAACCTAAATTCTACTAGCGTCATACACGAGGGTTGAAATACTCACCCAAAAGAGGATTACTAATGTAAACTGAAGTATTTATATCATTCATATTTGTCATCACACCAATGAATCCAATACATGAACCAATTATTCTAAATAGATAGGTCTTTTAGAGCGGCGATAAGAAAAATCATAACAATTTTCAAGTTCAAGAAGCTGATTCATCAATTATTAATTGTTATTCAAAAGTAAGACTTTTTGAAAGTTTGACCAAACACAATTATAACGAGTTAGAGGTTAAGTGAGATCATAAATTTTGAAATTAGGCATAATACATACATAGATATTCTTACTTGACCTTAACTGACAAGTAAGTATTCTTAACTTTGAGAATGCACATCTAAACACATTGACTTTGGTCTCAACTAACAACTAAACACTCCAACTTGTCCTCACTGTATCTCATGGACACATGACGCTGATGTGCACATCTTTTTCGCTTCTATTAGACTCGAAATGGAGTTTACCTGCACAGAAGCATGTTCATATTCACTATACATCTGGAGATTTGAACCTTGTAACATTGGGAATTTCAACATACAACCTCACAAAGGCGGTGTCCAAGAGCTGTAAATAGTGATACCACTACTTAATTGTTGGTATCAACAACCCCAGCAGCATCATAACAACAACATACCTAGTATAGTTTCCACAAGTGGGGTTTGGGGAGGGTATTCCATACGTTACCTCTACCTTTACAGATAGAGAGTCAATTTCCGATAGACCCTTGGTTCTACAAAAGCAAGTTGTGCAAAATAAGGGTATATCCATTAAACAAGAGGTTGGTCAATTTAACTCAACTTTACAAACAATACAAAATAGTTAAGGAAAAACAAGGAATTCTTTCTATCTTTCTCATTATATTTCTTATCCTATTGCTTTACAAAATTTCATGGGCAAAAAAATGTGCGCCATGGTTCTACTCATAATTTCCTCAAGCGAGAAGTAAGATCAATGAACACGTCTTCCTTGCAAGGTATTGTGAGACCACCCATTGGATGATCAAAGCCAAACTCTTCTTCAGCTTGAGCTAAAAAGTCTCGAAATAAAGGCTGGCTGAGGTATGATATTGGCATGACGAACCTCTTCTTCTGGCTCTCTCCTACATCTACTGCACAATGCCCTTTTGGAACACCTGTTGAAGATCTCCTTAGGATTCGATTAGCTTGAATAAATGGAGTCACTTTGATACCCATTATCTCAAGAAATATGACGTATTTCTAAATGATGAAGTATAAAGAACAAGAACTTTGAGAATGACACAGAAAATGGAAGTCTTTTGAATGTCAGGATACTTGTGTTTTGCTGAAATGTTTGGGTCTGATTATATATATAAGTCTATGACAAGTTTCATATCTTAATGTTTGGTCAAGTTTCATATCTTAATGTTTGGTCGTTAAGAGAAATTGGTGTCCACTGGTGAAGACTGAGAGACAATGGCACATGAACTTTCACATGGTTATGCTTACTCTGTTACTGTCAAAGTATTCAACACCATAAATTTGTTGAAGAGCAACACTAGCTAGGCCCTACTGCTTCTCATGATTTGAAACAGAAGAAGAAACTCTTAAATTTACATCCACAAGAAAGGATGAAGTTTATGAATTGGTTCAGGACCACCTTATTTAGAGGTTAGGTGACAGAGAATGACCAGATAAGGATAGCAACAGAAATACCACAAGAGAAAGAAAGATAACAGGACGCGAAATATCACATGTCATTGCCTTCTAAATCTTCGACAAGCACTTACCATTTTATGCCATATTTGTGGAATAACAACAAGCATAAGCTGAAAACATAACAAATAAGCCTAATCAGTTGTCAACCAAAGTGAGGAAAGGAAGACACAAATTTAAGGCCCCATATATTAACATGACCAAGAGGTATCAGCACATGGCTTTGCCTTCTATTATTAGTAGCAAAACTTCAGCTCTAACTCAAAGCCTGTCTACAGCCTCTTGTATAAGTAACCCCCCTTTTATGAGACTTTTCATCATACAACAAGCATTAACAGTTCATTCATCGAAAGGTCTCTAAAGTTCTAGTTTTTACTTTCTTGTTTCCAGTTCCAGAGATAAGAAGATGGTCAGTACTAAGAAACTCATCACCATGGCCAAGAGATGGCATAAGTTTGCAGCCAAGCAGAGGAAGAGGATTTCATTTCCAAGAATGGAAGTGAAGCAGACAGCTGCAGTACATCCTCATCCTCTAGAGTTGAAAAGGGTCATTTTGTGGTATATACAGCTGATCAAGCACGGTTTGTCATTCCGTTGGATTACCTTTAAAATGTTGCCATTGCACAACTTTTAAACATGTCTGAAGAAGAGTTTGGGCTACCGAGTGGTGGACCTATTACATTACCCAGTGATTCAGGCTTCATGAACTACATCATTTCACTAATCAAGAAAGGTGTAGCTGCTGGAGATCTTCAGAGGGCGTTGCTCCTCTCAATTCCTTCGTGTTGTAGTTCAACTTTCTCTTTGCACCAAAAAAGTCGAAACCAACAGATTCTTGTTTATTGAGTCATGAAATGAGCATGTTTTGTAAATAATAGCTCAATATAGATAGTATAGCAATTGAAAAATAGGCAACGGAAATCTTGTATTATTACAGAAGGGAATAGAGTTTTATCTTGCAATTAACATTCAATATCATACTTCTGGTAAAATGTCAACATTAGTTAACAAGTGTGTCAGAGATATAGTATAGATACTGATATCGTCGGTCATGAGCTGACAGCCTAGAGCTTCTTAAGAGAGGCTCTGAGATGAGGCTGAAGATCAGTTAGACTGGTGGCCATCTCCACAACATATGATAGTTCACAATTCTCCACTTTAAAAACTCGAGTTATCTCCTTGACCTGTCCATCAGGTAAGCGAAGGATCACATTAGTCAAACTTCACCAACTTCCGCCTACAATCAAAGGGCTTTTTTCCCTAAACTTAAATACGATACTTCATTTAAGAAAAACTTAAAAGTTGAAACCATTTCCACAAACATCATCTTGCAAGACGATACTTGTACTCTTGTAGAATACGCTAGCGTTTACTTTTTCTTTGTAAACTTTCTTCATGTCAAATACGACATATATATGTTTCAAGAGTTCAGTTTCTACTTCAACTTTACATCCTAGAAAACATAAGGGAGATGAAAACTTGTAACTCTATCATAAAGGTGTACAAGCGCATCAAAGGGTCAAAGATGAAGGTAGAAAAAAACAGATAAAACGTGCTAGAGGAGATACCTTGGAAGCATTGCCAACCAGTTCACTTTTAAGCTTCACAACTCCCTCTTTCATGTCATATGTTCCTTTCTGTAGAATGAAAGTAGAAATATTATGTTTTATGGTTGACCAAAATGGATAGACAAACTTAACATGCCGACATATTCAATTGACCTCCCAGATTGTCAATGAGTCTTGTTTTTTAACATCAAAAGTCACTTCGAATTACCATCTCAATATTAGAATCGCAGACCCAAACAAGGAAAAACCAACATGTCCTTAGCACATCTAAAAAGCTGATAACATGAAATTCAGAGGCATGACTCATGAATCGTAGACATGATTTAACTCATCATTCACTGACAATGTAAAACTGTTCTACTCATAAGGAGATCACCTGGACTTCAACAAGACCAGTGCTCTGAGCAATGACGACTTCAATGGTCCCATCGGGTTTAGGTCTCCAGTATCCGCTCTCAGAATGCATAGGTTGTCCAGATTTCAAGTTCCATGTCTTTTGAGAATAAGCTATCACAGGCTGATAAAAAAAGCAAAATTTAGGCAAAAAAATCATCGCATGTATAGTGACAGCCAGTAGTTCTAATAAAGGGATTCAAAAAAGACGCAAGAATGCAACACTTGGAACTTGAACATGTGAGTTAACACAACTTGTGAACCCCATTTGTTACAAGAGTGCCTTTTTTTAGTGAGACTCAAACAATGTATATTTATATTACTCCAACCGTCCCATTTTTATAACACCATTTGACTAGGCATAGAGTTTTAAGAAACAAATTTGAAACTTATGATTTAAAACAAGCCATAAATATTTATGTGACGGTGCTAAGAGTTCATCGGGCAAAAAAGGACTCACTAAATCATTAACTAATCACTAACTAATACTAAAAGAACTGTCTTTTCTGTATACTTTTCCCCTCCTCGTCTCAAAATGAGAAATTTAAAGTTAAATTATTTCTAAATATAACAATCTGCCCTTTTCCATAAACATACCAAAAGGGAACCACACAAACTAGGACATAGGAAGTGTAAATTAAAAAAGCACTAAAATTTTAACAAAATACAGATAAAAAGATCAATAAAAAATTTCAACAGATACTCTCTCGGTTTCAATTCATTTATCTTACTTATCTTTTTATTCCGTTTAAAAAAAATACACCTTTCCTTTCTCGACAACTCTTTAAATCTAACTTTACACATACATTCTAGTACATTCTACGTATTTTTAATTTAAGACTATAAAATTCAAAAAATCTTGCACAATTTCTTAAATTCCGTATCAAAATCAAAATCAAAATCAGACAAACAAATTGAAACGGAGGGATTATTCGGAACCTAACCTTGTTTGGAGAGTGAGTAAATTGGAGTTCTTCGGAGTAATTGAAGGAAGAAATTGTAGGGAAAAAGCCTTCACCTTCACCTTTCCAAGTACCAAGCAGGTCAGATAAAGGTTTTACTGCCGGATGCACCATTTTTTCCGATAGATTTGCCGTGCCGGCGGCCATTTTTCCGATTGCTTTTTTTTTTTCTCCTTTTTCAGCTCACTTTGAAGACTATATTTTCTTTGACTAAAAAGTAAATACTATTTGGGCGGCTGCTTATAATTAATTACATGCGTTGACTAAGTAAATTTTTGCTTTACAATATACATTGATTAAAGATACAAAAAATTTAAAAAAATACTACATTTTTGTAGTATTAAATACAAATAATAGTTAAAAATATATCTAAAGTATTGGTTTTATTTTTGTGAGTTTTTGACGTGAACTACAAGTGTTTGTATTTTCTACTTGAATTATCACCAACAATGTATTAAGACACACCTTAACTAGTGCGTGATGTGCACTCTCCTTTTTTTTTTTGTTTAAAAATCGTTTAGAATGACACCCCACGAGCATAATTAAAGAAATTAATAGGAAAATTAAGAGATGACGTTCAAAAACATACCTAAAGTATCACTTTTTTTTGCGAGTTTTCTACATGAACTATCAGGTACTTGTGTTTCTTATTTGATATATCACCAACTATTCATAAAAAAAATTAAGCCTCAAATATAATAAGTCAGTTGTCACGTGGATGAAATTTTTAAAGGCTAATTAAGTTGTGGCATGCCTTTTAGCAATTGTATTCAAATATTTGGTTTAGTCAACTTAGAGGTGTGTTTCGATAAACAATTGATGATAGTTCAGGTAGAAAATACATAGTTCACATATGAAACTCACCAAAAAAATAATACTTTAGGAGTGTGTTTTATCATTGTAGTTTTGTACTTGCAACTTTAAAGTGATACTTCACGGGTGTTTTATACTTTGTAACTTGAAAATTTATACAAAGACCTAAAGAAAGAATGGAGACCAGTGTGTGTATATATACAAGTTTATGACAAGTTTCATATCCAAATATTTAGTGGTAGTCAAAGAAATTGGTGACAATGGCACATGGTTTTTGTAGCCAAGATGGAAATCTACATGACAAAGAAGAGATCAGAACATGGTTTTGCTTCTTAACATCAATTGTTGATCATTTAATAGTCTCATATTATTGGCATTGCTGAGAAGAAAGGAAAAACTTATCATCTTTTATTTTCAAACTTAGCTTCATGCGCAAATTTTAGGCCCCATACCAACTTGGCCAATAGGCATCAGCACATGACTTTGCCCAACAAACTTATCAGCTCAACTTGTATAAATAATCCCTTTTTCAGTAACCTTTTCATCATCAAGCACAAGCATTATCAGTTCAGACATCAAAAGTTTCTAAATTTGTTAGTTACTTTCTTGTTTTCAATCTTCCGGAAAAGAAAATAACGATGATTAGTACCAAGAAACTCATCAAAATGGCTAGGAAATGGCAGAAGTTTGCAGCCATGCAGAGGAAGAGGATTTCATTTGTAAGAAATGTTAGCGATGCAGATAGTTGTAGTACGTCTTCATCGACTATAGTTGAAAAAGGACATTTTGTAGTATATACAGTTGATCAAGTTCGCTTTGTCATTCCATTGGTTTACCTTAAAAATGAGATCATTAGGCAACTTTTGAACATGTCCGAAGAAGAATTTGGGCTACCGAGTGGTGGTCCTATTACATTACCCTGTGATTCAGCCTTCATGGACTACATCATTTTGCTAATCAAGAAAGGCATAACTGCTGGAGATTTTCACAAAGCGTTGCTCCTATCAGTTCCTTCTTCTTGCTGTTTGACTTCTTCTTTGCACCAAGAAAGTGGAAACCAACAGCTTCTTGTTTGTTGAGTCATAATACATGCTAGCTGAAAATAGTTTTTTAGATAGGGCATACACTGATGAACATTATTGTAAAGTGCATCATACAGATTAATGAATATTATTTTATCAGAGAAAATTTACCATATCCACGGCTTTCACTTTTACATTTGGTTATGAGAAGACTTAACAATCTAATCCTCGATTGGTACCTCTTATGTGTTAACACCACTTTGTTTATCATTAGCGTTTCACTTACTGCAGTACCTCCTTGATCAAATGAGGTATAAATGATCAATCAATCAACTATGCCTCCTTTTATGTATATGCATTAGTATGTTTTAATCAAGCTTTGCTGAAGTATCTGCATTACGGTGGCAGAGATGAGAGACAACAATATCTGAAGTATCGCAGGGCTTGTCTTCTAAGTTAGCATCCAGTCTGAACATTCTGTGGTATTTTCAGAAGCAATTAGGTAATAAAACAATATGAGCTAACAAGTCTTGCAATTTAAAGGCAGACTCAAGTATGGTATTGGAACAACTGCAGACATCCTTGAATTCGATTAGATTGAATAAGTGGAGTCATTTGATAACTCCCCTTCTTTCCAGATATGATTTTTAACTCTAACTGATGATCTAAGAATAAACAAGGAACACACTCTTGATAAATGTACAAAAAAGGAAAACTTTCTGCACTGTGTTCTGCTCAAATACTTTGTGTGTGTATATAAGTTTATGGCAAGTCTCATAACTTGGAATCAAGGACATCCAAAAAATTTTAAAGCCATAAGTATAGATAAAGCTGATGACTTGGTTCCGCTACGTAATTTCTAGTTACTTATCACAAACTTCATTCTTATTCCGCTAATTGATACTTTCTTGGATGTGCTAATTTGAACCACACAGTGCAAACTATTATTTGTTTAGCAGAAAAAATCTAAATAAATAACAGCATTGTTTTAGCAAAAATAACGAAAATAGTGATTGTAAGAAACAGCACTTCTGCCATTCATAAATTGATCATGGAAACAAGTTCTATAGATTCTTGTGTTTCTGAACTATACAGTGAAAGTTCCTCTCTAAATCTCCTCTTTCTAGTATCTAAGTCTACTACTTTACAAAATTTCTATGCAAGAGAATTTACACTTTGATACAACTCATGATCTCAAGCGGGATGTGAGATCAACAAACACGTCCTCTTTGCAAGGTATTGTGAGACCACCCATTGGATGATCGAAGCCAAACTGTTCTTCAGCTTGAGTTAACAAGTCTTGAAATAAAGACTGGCTCAAGTAAGATATTGGCACGACGAATCTCTTCTTCTGTCTCTCTCCTACATATACTGCACAATGCCCTTTTGGAACACTTCCGGAGTTTGAAAACCTCCTCAAGATTCTAGTACCTTGAATAAGGGGACTCATTTTGATACCCATAGTGAGATACTTTTGTAGCTTTAAATAAGTGACATAAAAAAAAAGAAGGATTTTGAGAAATACACAGAAATTGAGACTTGTGTTTTGCATAAAAAACTTTCTATGTATGTGTATATATACAAAGTTAGTGGTAAAATTCATATCCAAGTTTAATGGTGAAGAGGATTTGGTGGCCACTGGTGAGAGACCTTGTGTCACGCCCCGGGCCTACACCCTGGGCGGGACCGGCACTCGGAGACCATTGCTGGCCCCAAGCGAACCCTTGGCCTGGCTTTCTTAACTCGGCGGAAACCTACTCAACAGAATAACTCAAAGCAATGCAATATTGCAAAACAACTTAACTTATAAAATATAGCCCTAAGGCAACCCGAATCTCAAAAATAGAATATTTACATATAAATATATAGATAAGAGACTCGAAACCAGTTGACTGACTGTCTGTTTGTCTATGAAGCCTCTAACATACTGAGATGGATGTTGGGACAGACCCCGCAACATCCTAAAAAGACAAGACTAAGAACACAAATAATCGAGTCCTCCGGAAAGCAAGGAGGCTCACCACTGACTCTGGTGTGCTCAGCTGAATCAATGACGAGCAGGATGCTGATCCGGGGTACCTGAATCTGCATCATCAAACGATGCAGGCCAAATGGCATCAGTACATGGAATGTACGAGTATGCAAGCGGGAAAGCCAAACACAACTTAAGCTTGAAAGGAATAACAAGAGAACACTTACCTCGGCTCTGTACGACTCATGACTAACTGAACTCAATATATATATAGCAATGAGACGCATGCAATATATAAAGCTTGTAAAACAGTATAAACAACTTAGCTTGTTAATGATAAAACAATAACAACTCAACTATACTTATATAAAAGTAATATAACTTATGTGGGAGGTTCTTTAACCGACAACCACCACTATGAGCCCTAGTGATGATACAACGCTTTACCTCGCGTTGCCAAGGACCATCCTATACCTTGCCGTGATATAGGAAGCTAACTTTACTTAGTGGATCCACTAGCTTAACTTTCGTGATCATCTAAAAAGTATGATCCGAGAAATCCCATGATGGCGCATGGTTCTTATGGAGAGTTGAGTAAATCAGAACTCGTGTCCCCAATTCGGTGCTCAATACTACTCCCAAAAATACTTTGACTCATGTTTTTAAAACTTCTTTCTTTAGTTTGAGAAAATTACTCGAAGCTTAGCCCAAAGGCTCTTTTGGAATCAATGTTCCCTTTCTTTGCTCAATGTGTAAAAACATTTATAAACTCTTAGGGAATACTTAGTCCCCTTATAGCTTTTGAGACGTGAACTCAACTCTTTACTCTTTACTCTACTTGAAACTCTATACTCTTTTTCTTGAATTCTAACTTCACTTGACTTGGAAATTAACTCTCCTTGAATCGAAATTATGGATTCAAGGTGTTCGCTCACATGTTGCGGAGGGATTCTTGAACGCTTAGACATACTTTGGAGTGTCGGAAACAACTATAAACACATAGGTATAATACTTTGGAACTTGCTTGAGAAAGTGAGAAAAGAAATGGGGAAACTTGGCTGAGACTTCAGATTTCTGGTGACACAGGTGGGACTTACGGATGCCATCGACGGACCGTGGATGGACTTATGGTCCGTACTGCAGGTCCGTAGATCGCATCAGAGATTTTCCCCCGAATTCATTTTTAAGAAAAATGACTAAGTATTGACCTACGGTCCTGACTTACGGTCCGTAGGTCAGGTCACGGACCGTAGGTCGCGACCGTAGATCGACGCCCCACAAACTCAACTTCTGTCCCAATCGACGGTTGACCAGTACAGACCGTCGATTGATCTACGGTCCGTAGGTCAGGCCCGTGGATGGGGATCGACAGCCCAGAATTGCTGCGAATGA